GCGCGGGTGTGAACATTTGCTTGTGGCATTCCTGCAGCACGCCCAACGATACAGTGCAGATGACATGATCGGCTTCGATCAGTTCACCATTCCAAAGACGTATATGCACCTCGCCACTCGACTTTTGCCACTCGATGCTTTGCACGCGTGCATTATACTGTATGCGCTTGTTCAGCAGTCCCAAATCGTCGGTGGAGTCTTTCTTCGCTTTCATCAAGAACTGCAGAAAGCTGCGGAAGCCTTTTGTTTTCCAATTCAGCAGCATATCTCCTTCGCATTTCCAATACTCCAAAAGACCTTGCCCTGAAACTTCGAATAGATGATCTGATGCCTCTATCGAACTTTCGAACTTTTTGTAGTTCTCGAAAAATTCACGCGCCACCGTCTTATCGATCTCGGGCGACTGCTCTAGATCGCGCCAAAATGCCTCCGTGAGATATGTGCCCAGCGAACCTTCGAAGCCTTGCAAGCCATCCTGGTGTGCTGGTATTGAATTAAAAGCCACCGACTTGAGCGCATCGGCGACTGCCTCGGGCAACACTTCTTTGTTGGAACGCACGCATTTGTAGTCATCGTAGATTGTGCCAGACGGCTGCAGCATATCACAGTCTTTTACCAACTCATAGATCACATTGCCCTTCTCTCCATGACACCACTGCGCACCCAAATCGACGACATTATCCGCAAATGGTATGGTGTGTACGCGTCCACCAAAGCGATTTTCAGCTTCAAGCAGTAATACATTCTCAAAACCAGCCTGCAGGAGGCGTGTCGCTGCCGCTATGCCAGCCGCGCCGGCACCGATTATCACAATACGCGCCGATTCCATGCCCATCAGCTTGGTCGTTTGCCCCCTTTTTGACGCTACTGGTCGCTCACAAAAGCGTTTGTCGTTGGCTTTGCTATTTTGGTCTCCAATTTCCTCGCCACAACTACGAGAATTGCACTTTTCAGGTTTTGCCTTCTCGCCGTCCGCGATTTTGCCTTCTCTCACCGTTCGTTGTGGCAGCGTGTCGTAGACGGGCACCTTCTCTGCACGTTTAACTATTTCAGCACTTGCTAGGCAACTGAGTTTTAGTGGCGCCGTTTGGTCATTGAAGTAGCCACCGGCAGTTGTTGTGCTCACGTGGCTGTTTGTAGAGAGCGGTTGGGTGAGCTTTGAAAAGACGAATCGGAGACGCTTGCAATGAGCATTTCGTAGTTGTGGAGCGCACAAGCGTATACACACCATTTTTGCTAAATTGCTTTGCGGTTCAAGATACAAACATATTTATTTCTTTTTACTAGTTCTCTTTATTATCTGACAATGGAAATTCGTGTTTGCTTTGACAATGTATGAATGTGTCTATTTATGTGCATAGTAAAGATTAGTAATGCTCTTTGTAGATCTAATGAAATTTTGTTTAACCAGTGTGCATTAGCTATCAGTTGCGTTGCATACATTATTAAATATTTATGTACAATATATATGAATGGATTTGTTATTATGAGGAATTGATAGCTGAGTACGTTCCCTACAGGAAAATCGTCAGCTAGGAAAATACATTTCAGCGACAAATAGTATGGAAAATGCACTTCTTTTGTGACAAAACCTAATATAGTGACAAAAAATAATATATTTGTGACAAAAAATAATATAGTTTCAAGAGTTTGAGATGAAGAATTCAGGAAAAATGGTCTCCTTTTGACCTTTAAAGTGAGCGGCAAATATGGATGGCTTTCATTGTTTTATTTATTTTTTTACCTAAAAACAGTAGATACGCATCTCAAAACCTACAACATATCGTTAAATTTATTTCGTCATCCGTTCTTGTTATAGAGCGGTGATGGACATCGCCTTGCCCGCGGGCAAAGCTCTTTTAAGCTTTCTATACATTTTGTATAGACGCACGCAGAGTAAAAGGCAGTGCACATCACCGTTCTGGAGACACATAGATTTTGTTACAGAAAAAGCTCATTTTCCACGCTGCGCGAAATCTTTACTCTAATTTTGGAAGTGGCGAATTTGAAACACAAATAATTACGCCTTCGAAGATGTCGGCTTTCGTGCTATGCGAGAATTTGTAATTTAGCGTTGTGGTGGCGCAGGTTTGAGACCAACTGGAAGTGCAGTGGATTTTTCATAATAAAAACAATTTAAGTTATTGTATGAAATTTCAATTGAAATAAGATATGAATTATTAAATTTAAAAAGTTCAATAACTGATTAGTCTAAGAAAGTTAAGAATAATAAATACATGTTTGTACTTCTAAACAAAAATTTTACACGATAATCTCCGGAAAGGTTCGCTAGCGAACTAGACTATCAGTGGATCTAAATCAGCGATGCGCAGAGAGCGCTTTTACTCTGCACGCGCCTATACAAAATGTAAAGGAAGCTTAAAAGAGCTTTGCCCGCAGGCAAGACAGTGCCCATCAGTGATCTAAATTCATTTTGGGAGCATGAGGTCGGCACTAGTGGATTTTCTTGCAGGGTAGCTACTTTTAACTCTCTCTACAAGTCGTACAGATGTACATACATAGATTGTACTTACATACACATATGTACACACATATATACCTACATAAACGTACTCATTAGCGATTGCAAGTTTTTATACATATGTAAATAATTATTAATAAATGTAATACTATCTATCTTTACACTCTTTTTTATTATACGCTGCTAAATGTTCTTATCTTTGTAAAATTTTATTGGTTGATATCTTCGCAGAGCGATTTTGAGTTTGTCAGCATTTCGTTGGGTGAGAAAAATAATAATTGTAAACAAAACCTTGTTAAACGTTTATTTATGGTACCAGAGCAATTAGCGTAGTAAATAAATTCACTATGGTATATACCAAGGAACACTGCAACAAAGAAGAAATTTTTTATAAAAAGCTATAATAAATAGCCCCTAACCCCAATTGCGCAATAAACTGCCGGTTTGTCTAATAAATGCTAACAGTGCTCTGATAGAGGAACTGTTAAGAAATAAATACTAACTGCCGGTTTCACTAGCAATTCATAGCCCAGTGAATTTAGACGTCTTCAAAAAAAAAATATATACATATATATAAAATTTGTAGTAGGGCACTGTTGATGGAGTTTACATCTATTTGATACGTAGATTATTGATCTACCGACTTGCCCCTAAATTTTATATGGGAACATTTTTCTATCTTGGATTTTAGGTTTTTTGTTTTTTTTGCGATTTGGAAACTAATTTTTAATTTTTCGTAAAAAAAGGTTTAAAACAAATTCGTAGAGAATATAACTTCCCACATTTTTTTTTAAATATAAGATTAAAAAAAAAAACATATTTCTTATTGTAAATAATTAGCAAAAAAAGATTTAGATCTTAAAATCATGGCATAGATGCCCCGCATTCAAAACAGCGTGACCACTTTTTTTAAGTGAAACACGATTTTTTCCCCTTCTGTAAATTTTTATAATAAATTCAAATTAAAAATATTTTTTTTTTTTCAACTTAATTGCTTTTGTCAAATTTCATTGTTAAGACCAGTTATGAACCTTGAAATGGGTATGTTCTTCCGAAAACATAAGAAGAGCCTAGCTTATCTAGAGGCACCTATAAGTCTGCAGTACTTACTGCGTCTGATTCTACTCAGCCTCGAACAAAGTCCGAAAAATGATTGCGGCCCCACAAGGTCCATCTTTAAGCGCTCGCGCGCCAGTTCGCTGATGACCACGTCTCCTTTGATTCTGATACTCTCCATGGATGCCCATGAATGAATGTTGTACAGAGGAAAACCGAACTAAAATCTTTAATTTTTCTGTCGTAGCAGCTTACTAAACTCTGTCTGAATCAGTGAATTGACTAAAAGTTGTTTTCATTCCTGTCAGGCAGAATATGGAAAAGGCTAGACCGACGATAGGGAAAGGGATGTTAGATGAGCTGATATGAGTGGGCATGCTAACAGGCCATTTGTGTCGTCCGGGCATCTGCTACAAAATTAAGAATAGTGTTGTATCAAAGAAACGCTAGCCTAAAAAAGCAACTCGAGCTCTTCGTCTACGATAGGTAGCGTTGGTATCCGATGACGGAATTCACGGGGTGAAAGTTGACGAAAGTGTTTGATTGATTCTCGATGAATTGCTTTTCTATAATAGACTATATTTTTGTATAGTCGGTGTGATACAGCGCATGGTATACTATCAGTCCCAAGACAGTCAGTTCTAAATGCTCCAGATTTTCCACACAAAAAAAAGGTGAATATCGGTTAACCCCATTAAGTATGAATTTTTCGCTAGTGTTTTTCTGTTTTACATGCAATCCAAATTATTCGAACTTTTGTCGCCTTACTAATTTCTAAATTGAAGCTTTATCTATTTTCAGTAGTCAGTTTGTAATTTGTACATATGTTAAAGAAAATCAGTTTACCCGGGTTTTTCTTAATTTGAAAATGTGGAACCGGGGTTTTTTTTTTTTTAAATTGCTTCTTGGTCGACTGGCAATCCTGATTCCTTGATTTTTTTTTTTTTTAATTTCGTTTATAGAAATCGCGATAAATACCATAACTTTTGGTTCCAGTTTAGGATTAAGCATATTTTTAATTGTTTTTGCCTGCGGGCGCTCGTCGGCGTAGAATCGGTAATTTTCAGGCGCCCTTGGTTTATCCAAAAGAAAAAACTTTCATCCTCTAAAACGTAAACTTTCTTGATGTGAGTTTTGCAGTTGTTCTGTCAGTCCTGATGATTGTTTTTCTCCCTGAACCACAAATTCTCTGAATGCAACAAGTTTTGAGAATTCGATAGGTTGTCGAAAACGGGAACCGTTTTGTAATTATACAAAAGTTCTTTTATGTAAACATTCAATTCATATCCTCTTTACTTATTTTTTCAAAAATTTACTTTTTTACCTGCAAATGCCTCTTTTGTATTTTTAATGCCCATTGAAAGAATTCACTAACTATAAAGGAAAAAAGGTTCTTTCATTGCCACACAACTATGAAAAGAGATCTATCTATCTGAATTTTCACTCTTTCTCTTTTTGACAGAATATTCCCACTTATTCTGGATTCGCCGATGATTTACTCTTATGGGTGCAGGACAGTTTTCAAGTGACTGAAGAAGATATATTCGGACTGATCGATCCACGCCGCCCAATACGATGCACAGCAAATGGCATTTGCTTTCCCGATGATATCGGAATACTCTGTTGTCCCTTCTGAGCGAAAATAGTCGAAGGAACGTAAAAAATGGCTTTTGTTTTATATATGTATAAACAATTAGCTTTTAGCCGCAGCTCTGCTTTGAATTAAGTTCGGTTAAACATTATGATTTTAAATGTAACGAGAAAGAAAATAAATTATATATCCCAAAATAATAAATTTTATTCAAAAACTGACGCTTATTTCCTCCGGCCAGCTACTTTTTTTGGACAACCGTTTAATGATAAATACCTTTATTTGCACGTTTTTAATGACTAATAATTAATAACTTGAAAAAATTTAAATAATTAATTAATTTTAATTTTTTAATTAATATAATTATTTGATTACTTTCAATTATTTTTGATTATTTTCAATTATTTTTGATTATCTTCAATTATTTTTTGTTTTTGTTTTCAATTTTATGATTTATTTCAACTTGGGGAAAAATGCACAAGGAAAATAACAAAAACGCAAAAACTGCAAAAAACGACTGGTTGCTTTGTTATTTTATTTGCAAATTTTTTATAAAAATATTTATCATACTACAAACAAACTGCATACTCTACTATACTATCCAGCGGAGTTCCAAATTTTAGTAAAACTTAGGAAAACTCAACACTTTCGTCAATATACATACAAACAATACAATGAATTTGGTGTCTCAGTTATTCAATACTAACTTTTAAAAGTTTGCCTGCCAAACACAGCTTAGTCTATTTTGAAAAATAATCATTAAATAAAAAATAATCAAATGATTAAAAACAATCACATAATTAAAAATAATCCAACAATTTAAAATAAGCAAATAAAAAAAAATGATTTGAATAATTTTGATTACTTTATTATTTCTAATTATTTGATTATTTTTGATTATTTCATTATTTTTTAATAGCAATTGATCATGATTATTTTAGTTATAATTAATTATTAATTGCTGGGTTATGTAGGAAAATTAAAATAATCATTAAAATTAAAACATACAAAAAATTAATTTATTTAACTTAATCAGAATATATCAATTGAAATTTGGGAAAAATAAATTCATTATTCATGTACGAAGAGTCACTCAATCTAAATCAATGGTAAGAATAAGCGAAATTGCAGTTTAAGTAAAAAACAACCCACGAATTCACTGACAAATCCTCAAATCTCAAACTACACTCCCTCTCCAGGCTTGTAAAACGGGGTAAGGGACCAGTCACTAGGTAAGACCACTTTCTTTCTTTAGATACGCCACAAGGAAGTGAACCTTCGCACTCGAAATTTCTTTTTGTGTGCCGGTGTTATTAATTAAATTTAATTTTGACTCTTTATTGGGTGGCAACCCTACTTAAAAATATTTTATAAATTAAACTTCTTATTCCTCTTTAGATTGACATTCATATTGAGGACATTTTTTTAACGTATTAAAAAATGGGATTTTACTTTTTAACAGGTGGCAACCTAATTCGAAAATAAAGCTTTTTAAAACTTATTCATTCGGCACCTATATTTTAATACTTTACTTAACTTATTATAAACATTTTATTTGACTTTTTAAGTAGATAGCAGTCCAGTTAGGAGTGATTTCGTAATCAAGTTTTTTTTTTAATCTTGTTCATTTGGCATTTTTATTGTAAATTTTCGTTGCACTTATAACTTGAAGTAGAAATTAATTATTTATTGTGATCTCATTTAACTTGTCAATTGTCAATTCCTAAACTGGTGGCAAGCCCTTTTCAGATTTCAAATATATTGTGCAAATTGACACAGCTTTCGTAAAATATCGCTTCTTTGATACCCGCATTAAAATATCCTTATTAATTTGTTAACTTAATTGATTTTGAATTTCTAAACAGGTGGCAGCTCCCTTCATAAAATATTTTTGAAACACAGCTTTCTCTCTTGTTTGCTACTCAAATTAAAATATGTTGTTTAATTTGTTTAATAAATTGCGTTTAACTTTTTGAACAGGTGGCAACACTCTCAAATAATTTTTACGAAATAAATCTTTTTATACCCCATTTGTTTGATACCCACATTGTTGTGAGGTTATATTTTTTACTTGTTTATTAATCGAGCTTCACTTTTTAAACACGTGGCAACACCTTTAAAAATATTTTCGAAACTAATTTTTTTGAACCACTTTCGTTTGACATCCTCACTGTTGTACTCATAGTATTTTCTTTAACTGACAAATATATTTATTAGAACTTTCAAAAGAGGTGGCAACTCTCTTTAAAATATTCTATATATTATTCCGGGCCATAACCTATCTGTTTGCCAAAATTCATTAAAATGAGTCTAGCAGTTTACGCATGAAAGAGAAGCATACATACCAATTGATGAACTCAGCTTCTTTGTTTGATATAGCACAGGACAGGACACCACCAAATTTTTTTCTTTTTGTGTTAATTACATTCAGCATATATTTTATTGCGGTCCATTGCTAGTTAGCAACATTGTGCCGAAACAATCAATATTTTCGATAGCATTTAATGATTGATGCAATGGCTTTTTTCGAGCATGCTCGTTTGCCTTTTTTCACCCCAAAAACTCATTGAGTTATTTACGATACGTGCAAGTTGACTAACACATATGTACATACATACATATGTACCTCTTTGTTTATTATCGCTGATGCACTATTGACATCGTTGCGGTTCACCAGCGTCAAATGTCACCTGGCGTTCATTGTCGCAAATGTAAATGAAAATACTCCCTGCGGTGCACACACCTTTAGAGAAGGAAGGCCAGCCGTGCGCAGCCACATTATTTACGAGCTGTGTAAGTGCTGTGTGTGTGTGTGGCGTGAATTTGCATGCGAAATGTGTGTTGGTTGACGCTGCAAAAAAAAAAAAAAAAATAAAAAATTTTTCGAAAAAAAAAAAACGTGGTTTCCTGGAAAAAGAAAACAACTAAATTGCTTTTAAAGATAAATGTGTATGCAAGAAAAAAAAAAATTGCAACAAAATAATAGTCAACAAGCAAATTGTCAGTTGCATGTACATATGTACATAAATGCACAAATACAAACTTGAATGCAAATGATTATTTTATTACGTGTTGTGATGCAATGTTGTTTGTGTCAGGCGGAGCTCTGGGTAAATAAGTGGAATAAATTTAAATTTACTTTTTCAGTTAAATATGTAGTAGTTACTCAGGGTATGCAAAAGCGTATTAGCGACATTTTCTTTTTTATAGAGAGTTTTAATATTAAATTTTGATTAACGTCCATCCAAGCTCGGAGTTATAGCCACAGTTGACCGTTTTAGCTTTTCCAAGGTAATCAATGTGAAGGATTCCTTTTGTATCCTCACAAACTGTTTCCTTGACCTCTGTCCCCCTTGGTGAATGTTCGCTGGAATAATTCCACTGATTTGACTGTTCCTTAGCCTCTGGTGTATTGTGATGGATCCATGTTTAATCTATGGGTACGAAGTGGTCCCATACTCATTTGGATTGCGGTTCAATCTTGCCTAACACTTATTAGAAATGGCCGAGTGCCAGCAATGGCGAGAGAGAGAGATAGTTAAATTATGCAACGGCTAGTGCTTGGTGAACTCACGAATTTCAGATGTTTCCATTAACGTCAAAAATTTACGTAGCTCGGCGAAAAATTTGATAGTTATTAGAACGGAAACATTGGCTTTTCAAACTGCCAAGGGAATCTTTAGGACTTTATTGCCATAGCTGCATGTAAGACGACGAGGTGGACTCAGCAATTGCTTTAGAACACTAAGACTTCTGTCCATGATCTCTCAAAACTTACTACGAAATTTCTGGATCAGAAAAGGACTGCTTTCGGGACTTTCTTGAATTTTTGTCTCTCTTTTCCAAAATTGTAATCACATTAGAGCAGTCCGTAAATACGTAACTGTCCCATTACAATCTCATTTAGAGTTACCTAACCATATCAAATTTAAAGCCGCCACTTAAGTTCTAACCAAACTCACTCACTTTCCTGTTAAATAAATGTCTAAAAAGTGCGTGAAGTAGTCGCATGTCGAACGCAGTAGGCAACGTTGTTAATAAAATATTAAAGCCGACAGCTAGCCGACACAATGACAGCACATCAAATAAACAACGTAGCCAAGCAGTTTGAGACCGACAGTCCACTTGTCATTTTCAAATAGTTAGCGGTTGATTTACGCACAAAAATACAAAGTTACAGATAAACGTTGGTACGTGCATACACATCCACACATATATATATTTATACGTACATTAGACCGTACCAGAACAAAAAAGTTCGCCGTACACCTTCGTATCTAAGCAGAAGTTGTAGTGATGAGGAAAGGAAGAAACAGTCGAGGTCTTCTTCTGCAGTTGCCCGTCTTTGGTCATGAGCAGCGCAGGCTATATTGGTACTCCTTTACTCTTATACGGAACTATGCGATTTAGGAATAATACGCTTCATAAGACCATCAAAATGGTTCTTTAGAAAATAGTGACGGTGGTTCCTGTGTTTGGCAGTGGTATAACAATGGGCACGCAAGGTCTAAGTGAGTTAGTTATTTGAACTGACCGTCACACCAAGCTAACCCCACTTAAAAAGTGAATTTCACCAAAAAACTTTAAATTTTTGCTGATTTAACTTAAAATTTAAATTTAAATTTCGCCCAGTTAAATGTAAAAAAAATACCCCCAAATTTTTTTTCCGCCCAAACATTTTTTTTTTCGAAATCGCTTTACAAACATAAGTTAGACTAAGGGTGTGTTCTTCACAGAATGCCGAGTGGCGCCGAGCCACGCAAGAAAAAGCAGAGCGCGGCTGCTGGTGTTCCCACTGAACGAAATGGACCGGAGCTTTTTCCATGGCATCGGTCATAGAGATATCCCAAAACTTACCCTCAATGAACAGCGCCTAAGATATTTGTTTAATTTGTTGAAATTGCTTCAATGAAAATTAGATTTACATTTAATTATTATGATGAAAAAAATAAAATAAAAAATTTTTTAATCCAAAAGTGCTTTACCTTCAGCTCCAAAACGCTTCTAGAAACGCTTGCCGTATGACCACTTTCGTATAGCTGCAGTAATTTGAAAGCACGGCACAGCGCACGTCGCTTCCTGTGTGAACGCACCCTAAGTGTTCAACAACGAATTTTTTTTGTTTGCTTGTAAAG